AATGTTTCTTATAACATCTGGAGAACAGAGAAACATGTGATGTTTTAATTTCAAGCATCGTTCGAATTCTTCTTTATGGAGTTGAAAGTAAAGCTGACAGTTATAATCGATCGCGATATAATCGTTCGATATATCTAATGTCCAGTAAGAGTTGTTGGATATTCGTACTGGAATTGGGGTTGCTTTTATAACATCAAACTGTGATATATCTATTATGGGAAAATAGCCAAAAACTTGGAAGTGGCCGCTATTCTGACATAGGGACATTTTTATCACAGGCGTAGATAATGCTTTTAAGTTGTGCGGTAATTTTCTGTTGATATCCGTTATCAGAGTATGGAGATACGTTGGAGATATGCAGGCCTATGATGTATCTACTCCTGTTATTTTAACAGCCATGTTATAGCTCAACATCTATACTTCTCTCTATTTTGACGTATAGAATAAACAGTGACAGGTAACTTAACGTTGCTGTTAAAATAACAGAAAATGATACATCATAGGCCTGATTATGTCGTAGATTGTTCCCCTGTTAAACTGGATATTTATCATATTCTCGTAGTATGAACTTATTTCTGCAATGTAGTTAGTTGCTATTTGATAAGTGCTTAGGACATGAATGTTTAGGCTGTTAATGTCTATACTTGAAAACCATTTGTTCATAGATTGAATTGCTTCTAATCCTTGATTAAGCCTTCTTTGGAATCTGCGAAGTTGGTTATTTATTTTTCGTTCGGTAGTATTGAATGTTGATAGTGCGGAGATAATGAATTGTGTCTGGTGATTGGAAGCTTTTATCAACATTTCTTGATTTTTGTTTATATTATTTATATCCTCGTAGACCTCATCGTTGACGCCAAAAACGAACGTCATAAATTTTTTCCAATAAACCTCTTTTTGGACGAAGTTGTATCTCTTGCAGGGTCTTAAAAATCCATCTAAAATGTTGTTGCTCTTGTAGATGACGGTCCAATATTTCACAGTGCGTTTCTTCCGATAGTTGTCTTGTCTTGTTACACAGCATCTCAAAATTGTTTACGACGCTAGTTACATTCTGGATGTCTTCCTTGATTTTTGTTCTATGTTCGATGTAAATACCTCCTTCGGGATATTTTATAACATAGCTGCTTTGACATTTTGGGAGAAGCATCCAACTGAACCATAACATAAATAGTTGAATGATTTGAAAATAAGATACTTTTGATTTCTTGGTTTTCACATGCTGCTTCACAGTGCATTCTCTTTGTTTTACCAGCTTTTTCTGTTGTAATTCATACCTTATTCTTGATTTTGATTCAGTTAGATCTTGGTTGATTTTGTCGATTGTTCTATCCAATTCCTCACACTTAAGATTTTGTTTCTTCAAAAGTAAGAGTTGTGGACTATTTTGTAATTCATCATTGATCGTTTCAAGGTACTTCTTGCAAGTCTCATACCTCTCTTTTATTTGTTGCAGGTATTTTTTAGTAAAGTAGGCGTGATTTGGTTCATTGAACTCGTTTAGTTCATGATCATTTTCTTGAACATATCCCATAGTTCTTCTAGTGGTCCAAGTTTTTGTTCTACATACTGTTCAGTTTTTCTTGATTGGCCATCTTTTTTACAGTTGGTGTAAAGCTGCATGATCTTTTTGCCTAGTTCTTCTTGCTGAGCAGCACGTAAGTTCATTTCTTCCATCATTGTTCTGTTGATCTTGCAATGGGCTTAGCTGGACCCCTGGAACCGCTATTGGTGGAACTTCTGGGAATGTGGTCGACCGCTGTTGGACCTGGTTGAACTTCTGAGACCACTGTTGGTAGGACCTCTGGTACTCTGGTTGATGGACCTGTGGATCGCTATTGGTGGGGCCTCTAGGACTCTGGTTGATGGCTGCTTGGTTTGGTTAAACCTCTGGGACCGCTGTTGGTGGGACCTTTGGGATTTTGGTTGATGGACCTGTGGGTCAATACTGGTGGGACCTCTAGGACTCTGGTTGATGGCTGCTTGATTAGGTTGGACCTCTGGGCCCGCTGTTGGTGGGACCTCTGGGACTCTGGCTGATGGACCTGTGGATCGCTACTGGTGGAACCTCTAGGACTCTGATTGATGGACCTCTGGATCGCTACTGGTGGGACCTCTAGGACTCTGGTTGATGGCTGCTTGGTTCGGTTGGACCTCTGGGCCCGCTGTTGGTGGGACCTCTGAGACTCTGGCAGATGGACCTGTGGATCGCTACTGGTGGGATCTCTAGGACTCTGGTTGATGGCTGCTTGGTTTGGTTGGACCTCTGGGCCCGCTGTTGGTGGGACCTCTGGGACTCTGGCAGATGGACTACTGGTGGGATCTCTAGGACTCCGAATGATGGCTGCTTGGTTCGGTTGGACCTCTGGGCCCGCTGTTGGTGGGACCTCTGGGACTCTGGCTGATGGACCTGAGGATCGCTACTGGTGGGATCTCTAGGACTCTGGTTGATGGCTGCTTGGTTCGGTTGGACCTCTGGGCCCGCTGTTGGTGGGACCTCTGGGACTCTGGCTGATGGACTTGAGGATCGCTACTGGTGGGATCTCTAGGACTCTGGTTGATGGCTGCTTGGTTCGGTCGGACCTCTGGGCTCGCTGTTGGTGGGACCTCTGGGACTCTGGCTGATGGACCTGAGGATCGCTACTGGTGGGATCTCTAGGACTCTGGTTGATGGCTGCTTGGTTCGGTTGGACCTCTGGGCCCGCTGTTGGTGGGACCTCTGGGACTCTGGCTGATGGACCTGAGGATCGCTACTGGTGGGATCTCTAGGACTCTGGTTGATGGCTGCTTGGTTCGGTTGGACCTCTGGGTCCGCTGTTGGTGGGACCTCTAGGTCCGCTGTTGGTGGGACCTCTGGGACTCTGGCTGATGGACCTGAGGATCGCTACTGGTGGGATCTCTAGGACTCTGGTTAATGGCTGCTTCGTTCGGTTGGACCTCTGGGCCCGCTGTTGGTGGGACCTCTGGGACTCTGGCTGATGGACCTGAGGATCGCTACTGGTGGGACCTCTAGGACTCTGGTTGATGGACCTCTGGATCGCTACTGGTGGGACCTCTAGGACTCTGGTTGATGGCTGCTTGGTTTGGTTGGACCTCTGGGCCCGCTGTTGGTGGGACCTCTGGGACTCTGGCAGATGGACCTGTGGATCGCTACTGGTGGGATCTCTAGGACTCTGGTTGATGGCTGCTTGGTTTGGTTGGACCTCTGGGCCCGCTGTTGGTGGGACCTCTGGGACTCTGGCTGATGGACCTGAGGATCGCTACTGGTGGGACCTCTAGGACTCTGGTTGCCTGCTGTTGCAGGCTGCTGATTCTTGACCGTTGTAACTTTTTGCTCGAAGGACCATGAACGCTCCAGGAGGTTGGATGGTATTTTCTGTTTGATCCTGATGGTTTAGGATAGAAGAGCAGAAGGGCCTTAGTACCAGACAGAACTTAAAGTCACGGCACTTGCACTAGGGCGTAAGATAGGTAACTTACAACCAGACTAGAGCACTTGTAAGTTGGAAAAAAGGACCCAAGCCAGACAAAGCACTTGCTTCAGGTTTAAAGAAGGGCCCAATGTAACCAGACAGAGCACCTGCTACAATAAGGCTAAAGAAAAGTAATTGTTAGAGCGCAGTCTCACGACTCTACTAGCGTTGCTAGGCCAATGGTGACTTGGGCACAATTTAAGTAAGAGAAACAACAATAAGTTTGAATCTGATTTTATTAATGAAATTGATCACCTTTTATATACAATAAATGCTGATTTTGCACACATCGATTGTCGTCATTTCCAATAATAAAAGTAGGTTGCTTATAATTAATTAATTCTAATATGTACAGTATGGTAAAAATATAAGATTAAATGTTCCAATTTGGATAAATGGACAGATACAATATAAGCTAGAACAGAACCAGAAATATTATAAGTTGATTGAATATTACTTTTTTGGAGATTGTTTGTGAATTTTCTAGTTTATGGCTAGCGATGTTCAGCTCAGGAATATGCTTAGAAAGTGTTTTATAATTTTCGTTTATTAACAGTTCGGTCAGATTAATATTATTATTTTTAATTTTTTCTGCTAACATCTAATGGGGGAACGAACTCACTGAACACTTTCGACTGTAAGGCATTTTCATGAGGCACAAGCATTGTTGAAACACTATAAGCCTTGCACTGTTTCCCTATAGTGACACTTCCACAGTTTTTCAAAATTACATCTAACGATTTATTTTGGTTTGAACATGAAATTGTCAACGATTCAGGGTAAGGCAATGCAAATAACCAAGTGTTGGGTGACAATACTTCTTGAAGTAATAATGCGTTTGTCGCTTTTATTTTCTAATAAATTAGGGCAATATTTTTATTATATGTCTAAAAATTGTATGTACAAAATAGTAATTCACTTTTGTTTATTGCAATATATTTAGAGAAAAATTAATTTAAATGAATTTATCTGATACTATTTACTAGTTTAGGAAATGCTGACGTTCTGTTATAAATAAAAGGGTTGTGTCGTACGAAAGATGTGCTTAAGAAATATATAAGAAGTTTATTTCCAAAGATTTGTGAAAGTTGTTCTCTTTGTTTCCCAGACTCGTGAAATTTTAATTTTAAAAGGTTGTTTTCAGTGGATTCTGGCTCAAAAACTTCATATCGTTCTTCAAAAATCCTAACTTTACGTGCTAATTCTTCATTTATTTCCCAAATTCTCTTTGGCTAATCCAACATTTTTTATATTAATATTTTCTCTATAGCTTTCATATTCTTCGTGCTCTGTGTGGAAACTCTTATCAAACGTTTCCCATTCTAAATTCAATGATTTATTCAAATTTTCCTTTTCACTTTCGAGTTGTCGCACTTTTATCTGTAAACAATTAAATTCGGTTTTCTTTGTCTCTTGGGCTTCTAGTTTTTCTTCTAAAAATCTTAATGTTTCTTGAGTTTTGCTCAAGTCTTGTTCCAAAGCAAGTTTAAGCTTATTTACTTTTACAATAGTAGCTTCTTTATCGGTTCAAAAATTTTCAAGATCAACAATTTTTTCTTTTAATAATTTATTCATTTCTTCCAATTCTTCCATTCTAATTTCTTTAACTTTCAATTTGTTATGTTCCTCCTGGATTTTATCGAATAATTTACGTTCTATTTCAAAATTTTTCAATAAAGTTTGTTTTTCTTCTTTCAATGCTTGTAGCTTTATTGTCAATAAGTTATTTTCTGTCTCAATATTATGTAACTGTGCATTAGCTAGTTTTTGTCTCTTAGGATTTTTCTGATTGAATCGATATTGATTGAAATTATGGTTTCTGTGACTAGATACATTTTGATTACGAGACAAATTACAAGAATCATTTTGTTGTCCATAATTATTTTGATTATAAAAGTTCTGATGATTGTTTGATGATCGCTTTCTAGAATTTTTAGCATAATTAAAATTTGGATTACAAGAATTTGCATTATTATTATAATTATTATCATTAAAATTATTAAAATTATCACTTCTTTGTTGAGAATAAGGATTTCGATTAGAATTTGATGCATAGTTTCGGGAATTAGTGTTGTTAGTATGATACAATTGATTATTTCCATAAGATGTCTGACTATTTGATGATATATTATTATCGAAGTTTCTCTGATTTTGATAAAAATTATTTCCTGAGTTAACGATTTTGGAAATTTCTAAGATTAGAATTTTGATTGGGATTATAATACGCACGGTTACTTGGAATACTTTGTCCGTTAAAATTACTTTGGTAACTGTTATAATTCGGTCTAAAAGTTTGATGCGAAAAATTTTGATTTTGATTATGGTGATTATTAAAGGTTCTTCCATTAAATTGATTTTGTTCATGTTTTGCTAAAAGTCTACATTGTGAAGTTAAGTGATTATTTTTAGAACAATAGAGGCAAACTAGTTGATTATTTTGGAAATTTGATTGTGACATGTTAAAATTGTTATTTCTTTGAGCATATTTATTCATATTATTGGAACCTTGATTAAAACTATTTTTTTTTTAACGTAATTGATATTATTTCTGGTGTTTTTGAATTTATCGTTATTTTCAAATTCCATCTCTACACATAGCTTAATAGCTTTTTCTAAATCTGTAGTATTTTCTGCTATTACCCTCAATTGCATTTTTTCATCCAATAAACCCTTTCGAAAATTATTAACTATTGTGCTTTCCATATTTTTGATGAGCACTGTTGATTTATTATTTTCATACTTTAGAAAACAAACATCTTTATATTTATTAATTAATAATTTTAATCTTTCCCCATAATTTAACAAATTTTCTTTATAATTTTGTTTAATATTCATAATTTGCGATAAAAAATGAAAAGGCGGAGTTTTGACCGTAAATTGTTCTGCTAAAACGTCTTTTATTTCATCCCAGCTATTAAAAGTTTTGATAATAAATCTTTTTCAGTTACTTTAACTACTGACATCATTGACTTACAATTTTTAATAAAGAATTGTGAAGAGTTGCCATCTCCATAGCCATCGAAAGATTTAATTTGATTCAATACATCGAGAGCGTCTTTCCAGACATTTTGTAGAATAATTTCTATATTTTTGTTTTAATAAGTTGAATTTAACGTAGTTACTTCTTGATATTATTATGTATATATAAGATATTATAATTAGGTTCAATTATTATTATTATTATAATTTTTTTTTTTCAAATATTTTTCCAACACAATGTTAATTTGCAGTACCTTTCACAAAAATATATATTTTTATAAAAACCAAAACTTTAAAAATACAAGAGACAAAAAAAAAACAATAGCGTCACGACAACAGAAAATTTAAAAAGACTTACACTTTCATCCTTGATCAGCTTCTTCGATCAGCAATCGAATTTTCTCAGGGCGAACTTGACGTCGTCTTCCTCTTTCTGATCTTGTTGCGTACTGGGCGCACCTCCAAGTATATCGAGATTTTCTGTTTCTGGAATCCCTGCTGTGTTCTAGGCGCTCCTTCAAGTAGACCAAATGTAGTTCAGCTGGCGTGATTCCTGCTGCGTTCTAGGCGCTCCATCAGAAATACACGGGGTATTTTTTTCTGACTGGTTTTCCTTTTTCTCTGTTGCGTAACTTCGCGCTCCTTCAGAAAAAACACTGTTAACCGTTCACCGTTGACCTTTCACCGTTTACCGTTTATCGTTGACTGGTTTTCGTTTACCGCTTACTGGTTTTCATTTTTCCGCTGCCACCAATGTTAGGAATCGGTTTACCAATGTTGGGAATTGGGAATTAGCCGATGCCACGAATGTTGAGTACTTCGATAATTAAAACTCGGTTATTGAATAAAAATACTTCGTTTATTAAAATTCTCGTTGAGGGGGGACACTTAGTTACAAAAATTGAGAGGCAACCCGACTATTCAGAGTGAAACTTGAAATCTGAATGTGATGTTTTCAGCGTGAAGATGGAAGTCTGAATGTCCTTCTTCCTTCTCTCCAACTATCTTCCACCCAGGAAGACCAGTTTGGAGCTTTCGAAAGAAGGGTATTTTACAACTTCCTAAAACTACCTAATCCTTTTTACAAAGTTTATGAATGTGCTAAAATCTATTTGATAGGTACTATATTACTTAGAAAGGGACAAAGGGTCCGGACAATAAAAGAAGGTCGGTATGATAATTAGCGTCCGGATTTAAAAGCATAAAAAAAGTGAAAATAAGCGGTTAAAAAGCATGTAATTTTTCGCAAAAAAAGCATGGAATATGCATGAACAAGACAAAAAAAGCAAAAAAAGTGAAATAAAAATTTATTGTTATAAAATACATAGTAGAAAATATAACAGGCAAACATTGAAATAAACAAAGTCTCTAATGAATAACAAAACAAAAAAAATAGTTTTTGAGCAAACATAAAAATAAACAAAGTTTCCAAACTTGAAAAACAGAAAAAAAAATTAGTTTTTGTAGAAACAATCAATCACCAAATGCTGATTTAAATGTTCCATTGTGAAGTTTTGTCTTCTATCACTCAAAATGTTTTTGTAGTCAGAAAAACTTCTTTCTACGTCCACACTTGTTATTGGCGCATATTTGAATTTTGCAATCACATCTGGGTTCATTTGCAGCTCTAAGTCAGTTCTTCCTGCCAATACCAAAGCAATTTTTTTCAATTTCTGAAAACCTTCATTCTTGAGCAATGTATCTTTCAACTTTTTCTTTACTATTTGGCCAGTTGCTCCTGGTACATTGTCAATCGCTTTTTCGAAATCATCAATCATTTTGATGGAGGAATCCAATGTCATTCCTTGCTTCTCTAGGGACTTTATGGTGGTACTGACAAAACTAAAATTAGCTTTCATGTAGGATAAATTGTTAATTAATTCATTTTGATTCAGGACCGTTTGACAATCTTTAATTGCTTTATTAGCTGTCTCAGGTAGCTCGAATATAACGTTTTCAAAATTTTCATAATGATCTGCATAATATAATGCGGCATCTAACCAAGTGCCCCATCTTGTCAACACTGGTTCAGGTGGTAATGGAATATTAGGTAGTCGTTCTTCAATAAGTTGCACCCGCAAAGGCGCCTTGACAAAAACTTTTTTTCCATTTTTTATAAGTTCATTGACAAGAGGAAATTGTTGCCTTATAGTTTCAGCAACTCTGTTCAAGCCGTGAGCTAAGCAAGTGCAATGGCATATATTTGGATAGAATACTGTTTGTTTTTTTTTGTAGCCGTTTTAACCATATACGCTGCTGCGTCAGAGAGCAGTAGTAACACTTTGCTACAGGGAACTGGTTCTGGCAGTTAAAAGCTTGTTAGTGCCTCATTCACAAATCTTGACACTGTATTGCTGTTTGTGGCTTCTAGCTCCTTGGAACATATTAAATATCCTGTGGGTGGAATCTCTTCATCAAGAACCCCTAAAATTAAATTCGCAATATATCTTCCACAAGCATCCGTGGTTTCGTCCACTGTAAACCAAATATAGTGACTTCCGATTAGTTCCTTTATTTTTTGAATGGTTTCATTATATACAGAGCTGACATAATTTTTTCTAAGTGTACTTTCATCTGGTATGTGCTTCTTATGCCCGTATTACATCTATGTATTTTTCCGTGTATTTATTCATGTAGTTCAGGGTGACAACCGAAAAACTTCAAACTCAACATAAATCAGCATTATGAAAAACAAAATAATGTTGGCACCCTGAACTACATGAATAAATACACGGAAAAATACACAGATGTAATACAGGCATTACAATATTTCTCCAAAAATGACTTCAATCCATCATTTCGTAATTTATTCAAAGCTATGTTAGATTGTACCATAGCTCTGCATAAATCAAGATTAAAGTTCCTCTGATCGCTCTGTCCAGAAATTGATCCTAACGATTCTGCAATTGTTGTTTGTTTCGGTTTATTTGTGAAATTTTCCAGACACTGTTGATGCAGCGATGTCTTGAGTTGTTGAAGTATATTGTATTTTTTGTCACATTGTATCTAAAATTAAAGAAAGAAAAACTTCAGAGACTAGCTAAATCCTTAAACTTTTCTCAAATTACATTTTCTCAAAAACCAAACATTTAGAAGCCGCGTCAACAAACTGAATTAATGAATTTTGCCCAGGTTGGTCCAAAATAATAAAATACTCTTAGACATTATTTGAGTGTCTTTAAACTTTTTGAACACGCAATAAAAAATATTCGAATAGAAGTAAAAGTATCTTTAAGTAAAATAACTGGGTACCTACTTCACTTCGTTAACATTTTTAGATAAAAACACTTACCATTTTAACACAAGCTCTGCAAAACAATCGACTACTCTCATATGTTAATTCCTTGTAGTTTTTAATCACCTCCATTACAGAAGGTTTTGCTTTCGGCATTTTAAAACAATAAAAAAAGCACGTTACGCCAAACACCAATAAAAACAATTCATTTGTTTATCTTCCGATACGTATAAAAACAGCTGATGCAAGTGCAGTGACTCAATAAACCTCAGTGGCGACAATTGTCCTATTTTTGATGGCTTTTTTATTTTATTGAGTCACTGTAGATGCAAATAGTGTACCTACCTGCAACTAGTACCATCTATTTTTGGGCTGGGGTTTCACGCGTATTATCGATTTTTAGAGGAAACATAGCGGGTGAGACAGAGGAGGTTTGTTTATTTCATTTTGCGTTGATATGAAAGTTCGTGTAAGATATTAATATACTTTTTCAGTACAAAAAATCTAAAAAAAGCCGTAAATAAGCACAAACCATAAAAAAAGCATAAAATCTGAAAAAAAGCAAAATAATCATTAAAAACAGTGCATATTCGACATTTTTTTTGTCTAATTCGTCAATATTTTGAGTTGTCTAATATTTGCTTGTAATATTAACAAAAAGCATAATGCCTTGAAATCCGGACTCTAATGATAATATTGAGCCGACAAAGAAATCGTCGGCCTCTCTGTAAAATAGATTGGTTACAATAAAACAAATTAGAAATATAAGAATAATCAAATGTTAAAACAATTATTGCAGTGCTATAATATTGGGGTTACAACAATACGCTTCAATTTTATTAGCAATAAAATCATGCTTTTTCTTTGTCGCTATATTTTCAAATCTATAAGGTGCGGTAATGCTATTGCACTTAATGTAAGTCTCAGTTTGAACATTGATAAGTTCGTCAACAAAAGTGAATATAGATGGATGTGTTTGATACATTGAGTTATTGAAATGGTTTGAAAGGATTCGCAAGTGTTGGTAGTTTTATTAAGGTCTGCAGATGCATTTGCCCAAATATGTGGGGGAAACTTTGATTTGTTTGTAAAATATGTTTCTAAAAAGTAACCCGAAAACTTATCTAAATGATTATTTTGTGGTTTTAGTTCATATAATTCATGAAAATAAAAATCCTCTATTTTTTCGGGGTTCAAAAAAAGAAGACCAAAACAATAATGCAGCCATTTTCCAACTTCAGAATTTTTATCCCGGTATTGTTGAGTGAATCCCAGTTTTTGAATTTGACGATACCATGCTTGGGCCAAATGAAACCTGCAGCCTGTAATTTCAATATTCTCCCAGATGCTATTTATGGCGTTATGAATTGATATCTCAAAATCTTCTACAATTTCTAGTGGCGAAAAATTCATGCCAATATTTTTACAAAGCTCTGCAACTTTAGACAAACAGAATGTATAACTTTTTTGAGTTTCGTCGTTCAGTAAACAAAATACTAATGGAATATAATGACTATTTAAAAAACCATGAGTTGTAAAAAGTTGCTTAAAATATTTGGTACAGTATGAAGAAGTACCATCCATATAAATAATTTTGGAATCGCTTAAAAATTTTAAATTCGCAATACATGAAGAAATTACCGCATTGTTCAGGTTGTCATTCAGTAGGAGAAAGTCTTCCTGCCTGTTGGTCTTGGGCTGCAATTTCTTTAAAGCATCGTGAGTAGAAAAAGCGGTGTTTCAGTCAGGCCCCACTCCCCTTTTTTCCTCTGGTCAATCGGGATTGACTCCTCCCCTTTCCCCCACCTAGGCTCCACCCCCTGGCCAATCAGGTGATGGTCCCCCGATTAGGCTCCTCCCCCTGGCTGTCCATTGGTTGTATTGTAAAATGGCCGCCAAAATGGCTGCCAACCAAGGGGATATTTCAGGATATTGATGGCGGTTCGGGGCGTGTTGTAAAATGGCCGCCAAAATGGCTGTCAACCATGGGAGATATTTCAGGGCCTTGATGGCGGTTCGGGGCGTGTTGTAAAATGGCCGTCAAAATGGCTGCCAACCAAGAGAGATATTTCAGGGCATTCATGGCGGTTCGGGGCGTGTTGTAAAATGGCCACCAAAATGGCTGGCAACCAAAGGGGATGTTTCAGGATATTGATGGCGGTGCGGTGCGTATTGTAAAATGGCCGCCAAAATGGCTGCCTACCAGGGGAGATATTTCAGGGCATTCATGGCGGTTCGGGGCGTGTTGTAAAATGGCCACCAAAATGGCCGACAAAATGGCTGGCAGCCAAAAGGAGCTTTCGGGATATTGATGACGGTGCGCGGGGCGTATTGTAAAATGGCTGTCAACCAAGGACGAGGAAATAGAGGGAGAGAGAAAGAGAGAGAGGAGGAGACATTTGCGTACTTGTATCGACTTGTCCGTGGCACGGGGCATGTTGTAAAATGGCCACCAAAATGGCCGACAAAATGGCCGACAAAATGGCCGACAAAATGGCCGACAAAATGGCCGACAAAATGGCTGGCAGCCAAGAGGAGCTTTCGGGATATTCATGACGGTGTGCGGGGCGTATTGTAAAATGGCTGTCAACCAAGGAAGAGGAAATAGAGGGAGAGAGAGAGGAGGAGACATTTGCGTACTTGTATCGACTTGTCCGTGGCTTTTCAATGTAATTTGGTGTACGGCAAAAAATAAAAAAAATTGTAGAGTAATTTTTCCATTCTCAATTACGAAATAAAACGGCTAAAATTGAATAGGTATTGCTACTTTATTATTCCTATTAACTTATTTGAATAAACTAAAAACTAAAATTTCCAGTGCGTAAAGTTCCATCCATTGCATTGTATGTGAGAAAAGCGTCATGTAGAATAAGGGCATAAGCTCGAAGACCCTTGTCAAACTACTTCTGTGCTTCAACCACGACTTTGATATCGAGTGTCGAATGCTTCACCCCCTCGGGTTGATTGCTGCAGTCCACCACAAATATGGGGTTGGATAGAAATTCCCAGATAGACATTATTGGATCGCTTATGTCGCGCTTATAATAGCTGCTTTGGAAATTTTCATACGAATCATAGGCTGAGGTAATTAGCTTTTTGGTGAAGTCCAGATTCCATCGTTCGTGAGGATATACATCGGAATTTAAATAAAGTCGAATGTTTGGCATCAGTGAAGGCTGTAGCGTCTTCTCCCTGACTGTCGTGGTTTTTCACTTTTTGGAATCCAATTATAACATATCGGGGCTTCTCCAATTGGGTAGTAGTTTTAATCGCCCATATATCGCTAGTCGTATCTCTCATGATGGCAGCTCGTAGAGATCCCATTTTCTATAAGGTATCTTTATTCTAGCGCTGTCGCCACCTCTATTGATGCGTGAAATAATCTTCAATTTTTCCTTGTCATCGGGTACAATATGTCGAATTTTCCACTCGATTTTGTCAATCTCGAGGTTTTATAGGTGTGTAGATGCGTGCTCACTAGCGAAGAATCGTAGATTGGGGTGCCAAATACGGATAATTTCTCACTCATCTCGACGACAGTTGTTATTCGCGCAGTTTGAGTCCAATAGATCGTAAAAAATCTTGATCTTTCTTGCCGAGTTTATTACAAGGTGGTGTTTGCTGGTGAAAGTTCAATGCTGAACTAAACTTTTTTTTGGGTTGGCGATTTTTTATATGCTCTTTGAGATTCTCTTCTTCTTGAGTTGAAAGATCGAATCGGAATCCCATATTTCCTCTATTATGAAATTTGTTTAATTTCCAACTTCACAATAACTTTTTCTCCTTGAAAATCCACCAAGTCGCCGTTATCATCCAGAATTTGCAGCGTGAGGTTGTCGATATACTGCCGGCCCCGTGGTTTGACTGATAAATATATAATATTATGTGGCTCCTTGGTCAGTTTATAGCCAGGCGGAACGTCAATTACAAATTCGAAAATGGTATGCGACTCTACAGAATTCAGGTATGCCCCTGAAGTTAGATTACAGTCCACCCTAATCATCCTAACTTTCATAACATCGACGGGGAGATTGGACTCGTGCCAATAATTAGCCTCTAGTTTACCTTCTCTAAATCCTAGTAGCTTTCCCAGGGATGCCTCCGTAGTAAACACTATGTCGTATTTTGACTTTATTTCGCATTTAAGTGTATTGTTATTGGGCTTCAAAACGAACAATGGTTTGTCTTCATCACCCCGTTCTAGACTTGATGTGTCGCCTATTTCTTTTATGGCATATAAAACAGCTTTTTCTATTTCTTCTAATTCATAGGCTCCTGGCTTCAATTGCACGATAATGTCGCCCGATCCAGTATTCACAAATTTTATTGAATTATTGGTTTTATCCACGTTAAAAACCGAATTATATGAATAAAATCCCAGCAGTCCAAGTCCATAACGAGAGTTTTTGTCTAGTTCAATAGGCGGAAAGAAATTGGCACTTAACACACTGGAGTGATCCGATAAAGTAAAGGTGCTAGTTATGACTGATGAGTAGTATATTAATTCCTAGATCTTTATAAGACGGCACAGTTAGTAGTACTTTTTTCCTTCTGGTTGGAGACTTCAATTGCATTATCGGATCCCATTGACACTTCACTGATTTTGCAATAACAGCAGAAAATTCTCCTCGGTGGTGGCCCATCTGCAACGTCGTGCTCATCAGAGTTTTCTTCACCATAGTGCTCTGTGCAATATAGATATTGAATAATATCAGGATCTTGTTGCAATTTTTCCGGCAGTTTAGTATACACATAAACAATTTCTTCAGGTACACAACACACCATCACTTCTTTAGGTAAATCGGCCAATTCTTCTTCCGTCAATTCTATAAGACTTTTTTTCTTCGAGAATGCTTTCAACGAAGCCGACATTTTTTCCAAGTCTTGACGAATCATTACGTCAACGCGTCGATTGCGAGAAACTTTAAGCACAAGTGTCCACAAATAACTGATTCGAAAGACTGTTCCCGTTTGTAATTATACAAGATAGAACTTGTTGGTGAAGAACCACTGCTATCTCGTGCGGAGGGGGAAGGCTGCCAAAACTATCGTAGTAATGCGTTTCAGATCCGTATTTTTTATATGCTACCCAATGAGTCCCCGCCCCTTTATCGCTGTCCAAATTTACTATAGCTCTTTCGTGCTTTTTCGGCCCA